TGCCGTTAGAGAGCGCGGCCGGTAGAGAGACGAGGCTGAGGGCCATGAGTACACACGTAACAACCGTTAGAACCAGGCAAGAGAGACCGAAACCCGGAGCACCGGCACCGTTAGAGGGAACGATTGGTAATGCAACGCGGGTATATAGGCGGGTGGAAAACGGAACAACGGACACTTGAAGGTAATTATCACCAAAGAGAACGCAGAAAAAAAATCGAAGCTAAAAAAAAAGATAGAGACAAAACGCGGGCTCAACCACGAGGATGGCAAGAAGAAGATGGAGGACCTGAGGGCCTTCCTGGAGGAGCAACAGGCGATAGTAGGAGAAGGGGGCTATCGCGCCGATGCTTCTCGTCAGCGACGGGCGTCCTTGCTCTCGCGTGGCGACGAGGAGGATGTGGTGCGATGGCTCCCAGTTCCTCCAGCTGCTGGCCTCGCCGTTGGTGTCGCCGGCGCCGTCGGGCGTCGAGGTCCTATGCACCGACGGCCCGCGCGCCCCAACCGCTCAAGAGAAGGCCAGATGGAGACGGCAGCAAAGGGCGGAGCCGGAGACGAGGACCAGAAGGCCGCTGACCCTGCGCGACAAGATCGAAGCGGTAAAGCGGAGGTTTCAGGAGGCGACGCCGGAGGAGAAGCGCCGGATCCACGGGGTGCTGCAGGCGGCGCGAACGATCAGGCGGCGAAGGGACGAGCGGCTGGAGGCGCGGCGGCGACAGGCGGAGACCGAGGGGGCGCAGCCCCAGGCTATGGGCGAGCGGGCCACGAACCCCGAGGCCGAGTGGCAGCGGCGGCTGCAGCAGGCCGAGGAGGAGGAAGGCGAGTTGTGGCAGCCTACGCCACCGGCCGAGGACGACGAGGGCCCCGAGAGGCGGCCACCGCAGGCCGAGGAGGAGCAGCAGCAGTAGCACCAGCAGCAGCACCAGCAGCAGCACCGGCAGCCGCATCACCAGCAGCAGGGGCAGGGGCAGTGGCAGGGGCAGTGGCAGCAGCAACCACAATGGAGGGGACCGGAGGCGGCTGTAATGGGACCGTATGTGTCGCAGGAGGTGCGGACCGCCGTGCGCCAGGGGATGGTTTGGCACCACCAGACCTTGCACATCACGTGGGCCTCGGGGCCCGCCCCGTGCGAAGCACAGCCAGAGACCGGCGCCCGGGTGTGGGAAGAAAGTCCAATCGGCAGTAATGACAGGGACCCGCGGAGGAGGAACCCCGGACCTGCCCCCACGACCTCAGCGGCCCACACGGCGAAGGCCGAGGCAGCGGCGGACACGGCGACGGACGAGGCAGCGGCAGACACGGCGACGGACGAGGCAGCGGCAGACCCGGCGAAGGCCGAGGCAGCGGCAGACCCGGCGACGGACGAGGCAGCGGCAGACGCGGCGACGGACGTGGCAGCGGCAGACACGGCGAAGGCCGAGGCAGCGGCAGACCCGGCGACGGACAAGGCAGCGGCAGACACGGCGACGGCCGAGGCAGCGGCGGACACGGCGACGGACGAGGCAGCGGCAGACACGGCACCGACGGAGGTGGAACACGCGGAAGTCGAGGCGTGGGAGCGCGGGCCGTGGGTGTGGCCCGCACCGGAGAGGTCGACGGCGGTCGAGCGCCCAGCTCTGAAGCGGCAGGCCTCCTACCCGGAGCCCCATGCAGGACCGAAGCGGCCGGCCCTGCAACGGCAGAGCTCGTCACCGACAGCCACGGTCCACTGGACGGCGATCCCGCGGGAGGAGTGGCCGGCGGCGGTGATCCGCGCGCAGACTCAGATTCGCCTCGTGGGTAGGCGGGTAAAGAAACTGGTGAGCGAGTGGGGTACCCGGTACCGCATCGCAATATCGGCCACGCGCACGGAGGTGTTCCGGGAGCAAAAGTAAAGGAAAAAGGAAAAGAGAAAAAAAGGGGGGCAGAAGGGAACAAAAAAAAAGACGGAAAAAAGGGCAAAACACGCGTGAAGAACGTGAATAAAGAGAAGGCGGAAAAGAGAGAAACGAAATACTGACTGGGAGGAAATATCGAGTGGATCGCAGAAGCGCCCCTACATCGTATCGATAGGCGGGGTTCGGCTCCAGCCAGAAAATTGCAAGGGCTGGCAGCGCCGCCCGAGCAAAGGCGCCAGAGGGCGCCAGGGCGCCTGTGATCCCAGGTGCAACAAAGAGCGCGCGTAAAATAGGGCCGTTTGAATGAGGAAGGCACATACGGGAGTATTCCGCTGCGGGAAGAAAGAGGGGGGTGTGAGGAACCGCGGTTCCCACAGGCCGAGTGCGACCAAAGAACAGCCGGATAAAGGCGGTGGGACGGTGGAATATAGGCTGATGGCTGGCCGGATAAGGCGAAGGTCAGTCCAGATACCCAAGGATATCCGGATGCGGCGAAGAGGCCAAGGGCCCCGAGAGGAGAAGTGCCCTGCTCTCGGAGAGAGAGACACGCGAGAGGCAAAGGAGACGGCGGGATCGGGCCGGCAGTGATCCGACGCATGACCAAATAAGGGCATGGGATCACGCCACCGGCCAGGCCCCGTTACGAAGGCCGTGGAAACCAGGAGACGGCGATGGAAAACTACCGACGCCGTGCCGGGGCCTAGCAAGGGTCTATAAAAGGAGGCTGCGGCGTCGAAGCGGGTCTCTTTTCCGTGGATAAGTGATTGCGCGCGCACGTTGAAACCCCGTCAAAACGTAAGAGTGATACCCGGTACGGTTCGAAGAAGTGCAGTAAAGTGTATAGCAACAGGAAGACAGGCCCCGCCTGCCCCCAGAGTAAGTCTAAGTTAAGAGGAGATCCCCGTTTGCCGGCGGAAGCTAAGAGGGGAGTGCGAGACGTAGAGTGCGGATTTGAGTGGCGGGCCAAAGCAATAGCGGGGGTCAAATTGCCCCAATCATTAGCCTCAACGCTGCCACACCCGACGAGAGCCCACGCGTGGTGGAGATCCGTAGATAAGCGAAATTGTAACATCTAGCCCTAAGTCCTAATAGAATTACGAATAAAGCGAAGTTCGAGTAAAGAAAAGGAAGGTCTTATCATTTGTCGTTGGGGGCAACAATAAAAATACGTTGCGGCGAATCTGCCGACCGCTGAGCGAGCCCAGCAAACTCAAGCGAGCCCAAAAAGCAGGTTCGTTACAATACTCAGCATTCAGCAGAGAGTAGTTTTGAAAACGTCATTCAAGAGACTAGCAAGCCTCTAAACCAATTTAAACAGCAGCTACTATTAGCGCAAGGGAGATTCACAGTTCATGAGTTAGTAAGAGTTTATGAAAATACCCGACATATTATTGAATTTGATACGGTTGACAATCTGCTAATCATTTTAAAAGAATTTATTCAGCCTCACTTAACCACAGGAATGCACTGCACTTAAGAAGATTTATACCTTATCCAAAATAAAGGAAAACTTCATAAATAAATTTCTCTTCACGAGAAAGTTCCTCCAAGATGTAGTAAATTCAGAAGATAAAGCTATAATTATAGAAGAAACACATTGCAGAGCCCATAGAGGACTAGACGAAAATTACAAACAATTAACTAAGTTGTATTATTGGCCAAACCTGCACAAAAAATTAAAAGAATATATAAAAAATTGTGAGATCTGTAACAAAAAAAAAAATCACAGACACCCTGTAAAAATTCCAATTGGGGAAGCTCCCATTCCAGCAAAAGAAGGAGATCAATTACACTTAGACATATACTATGCCCAAAACCTAACATTCATAACTTGTATAGATTCTTATTCCAAATACTTGGTGGTCAAGGAAATTCAAAGTAAATTAAACATTGAAAATAAGGTAATGGAAATTTTGCAACACTTTCCTTTAGCAACATCATTAATGACTGACAACGAACCAAGCTTTACTTCAGCACAATTTAGATCATTCATACAAAGAAGTAACTTAACTATTTATTATGCTGATCCCAGACACAGCAACTCAAATGGTCAGGTAGAAAGGGTACATTCCACACTAACAGAAATAGCGCGGTGCATCAAGGATGAACTAAATCTAACAGATTATTCAGAAATAATAATAAGGGCGGCACTGAAATATAACCTGACGATACATTCAACGACCAATCAAATGCCATATGACATATTGTATAACAAAATAGAACACAAACATAATCCAATATTACTTAAGGAAGCTCAGACCAAAATGCTTAAGCTACATAACAAAGATAGAAGAGAAAAAGATTATAAAATAGGAGAAGTAGTTTATGAACAGAAATTCGGGGAAAGAAATAAACTTCAATCCCGATACAAAAAGCAGGTAGTTAAGGAAAATCGACCGAATAAAATTATAACCAAAAATAGAAACAGAATTATACATAACGATAACATCAAATATTAAATACTTTTTCCAGAAAATATATGCGAATATACTTATACTGACTTTTTTTATATTGACGACTTCGGAAGTAATTGACTATACGCATAGTGACTATCTATTGCTCAAAGACGACAGAGACGTTTACACTTATGAAACATACGCTGAACTTTTCCATATTACTAATTTGAGTTTTTATTTATTTATTTATTTATTTATTTATTATTAAATTAACCGTCCTTGATCATGACAGTGGGACCAATGTGCTGCTCTAATTGCTCCACGGAGTTGAAGTGTCCATCACCACCTCCATCGTTACGAGCACGACGTTGCTTGTGGCCGGCCTTGACCATGGCTGTCATCTTAATTGGCTGCTTGATTTGCTCCATGGAGTTTTGCTTGCCGTCTCCAGCGCCTACTTTACGATCGTTTCCTTGCTTATAGCCGTCCTTAATCATGGAAGTGGGACCAATGTCCTGCTCGAATTGTCCCACCGAGTTGCACTTTCCGTCTCCACCACCATAGTTGCGACCACGCCCTTGCTTACGACCGCCCTTGACCATGACAGTTGTCCCAATTGATGCTCGTCTCCAGCTTCTTCGTAACGATCACGCTTTTGTTGTTTGGTGGACACGTTGGAACTGTCGCCAATATCCCGCTCAAAGAGCACCATCGACTTTAGCTTGAAGTGGAGCTCGTTGGCGAAGTCGTGATCAGACTTCCGGTTTTAAAATGAAGTTCCTATAAAAATTAAACCAATAAAATGGATGAAATACAAGAAAAAGGAATCCGGGGGAAAGAAGAAAGGGCAGTCGAAAAAAACTGGGAGTGAGAAAAAGTAAGGGAAAAGTATGGATACCCTTTGAAACGAACGAAGAAAACCAGCTCCCTCTCACAGTGTGGCTTAGCACTTATAGGTTTTCATTATTTTTAGTCACTCAGTCAACGAATAGAAATAAGTCCCAAAAAAAACTACACAATAGTCTGGTATTTTGCGGCAACAAATCAGTCGCTCGCCGAGCTGTTGAACACGTCCGCGCCAGAGGCTGGCCTGCGGATAACCGGAACACCATCGCATTCTCCTCCACTCCAAGCTGGCCTGTAGGTCCCCAAGGGGCAGATACTTTAGAGGTTACTTCTTTGCCAGTCTAAAGATGTTTACATTCAAAACGTTTTGAGCATCCAGTTTCTCGTTCAGCCCACGATCGCGCCCCTGGATCATATCGTTGTAGATGGGAACAGCATTGCCATCGTCTAGGGTGAGGTCCTCGATCACGTGCCGGTTGCCACGAAGTGCCCCCTTCGATTGGGGGAGAAGTAAAATGTTAAACTAGATGTGTAGTGTGTAGTATGTAGTGCTCGTCTGTGATTGTGTGTGATTGTGAAATCCAAACGAGTATCTCGTCTGACACTTCAGGCAGTGACTGAACAAAAATATTATACGACATAGTAGTATCTTTCTGAGTCGTTTGAATGTTTCGGATTCGGTCATAATTCCGCCTCTTTGGGTGCGACATCTGCCTTTGGCACCGCTGGTGAATTGACATTCGAATCGGCTTCGGATTTGCTTCCGAAGAAAAAATTGGTCAGGATACTCTCCCGCCTCTTGCCGCCGGGATCACCAGTACCCCCGCGGGCTCGACCGCCACTACCACCGACCCCGTCCATGAAGGGCGTCATTATTTCCATGGGGAAGGGGTAAAGGATACAGCAACGGCGCTCTGCGGCAATCGAGGTGAGAATTTGTAGATGCCTTAGCTGCAGGGTAATCTTGGTACTCCCATTAATTTGTGTTTGCTTTATAAAATATGAAACAAAAAACGGACAAACATTACATGGCAAACAAATATGTTAATCGATACTGTCTGGCATCTTAGCACGGCGTCGCTGTTTTGCTTGCTTGTAACGCTGCCGTCTCCCCCACCATCATTACGATCTTGCTCTTGTTTTTGACCGTCCTTGATCATGACAGTGGGACCAATGTGATGCTCTAATTGCTCCACGGAGTTGAATTATCCATCACCACCTCCATCGTTACGAGCACGACGTTGCTTGTGGCCGGCCTTGACCATGGCTGTCTTCTTAATTGGCTGCTTGATTTGCTCCATGGAGTTTTGCTTGCCGTCTCCAGCGCCTACTTTACGATCGTTTCCTTGCTTATAGCCGTCCTTAATCATGGAAGTGGGACCAATGTCCTGCTCGAATTGTCCCACCGAGTTGCACTTTCCGTCTCCACCACCATAGTTGCGACCACGCCCTTGCTTACGACCGCCCTTGACCATGACAGTTGTCCCAATGTGCTGCTCGTCTCCAGCTTCTTCGTAACGATCACGCTTTTGTTGTTTGGCGGACACGTTGGAACTGTCGCCAATATCCCGCTCGAAGTGCACCATCGACTTTAGCTTGAAGTGGAGCTCGTTGGCGAATTCGTGATCAGACTTCCGGTTTTAAAATGAAGTTCCTATAAAAATTAAACCAAAATTAAACCAATAAAATGGATGAAATACAAGAAAAAGGAATCCGGGGGAAAGAAGAAAGGGCAGTCGAAGAAAACTAAGGGGAAAACGATGGGGAAAATCAGGGAATAATTGCAGGCGGGGAAGAGAATGTGGGAGTGAGAAAAAGTAAGGGAAAGTATGGATACCCTTTGAAACGAAAGAAGAAAACCAGCTCCCTCTCACAGTGTGGCTTAGCACTTATTATAGGTTTTCATTATTTTTAGTCACTCAGTCAACGAATAGAAATAAGTCCCAAAAAAACTACACAATAGTCTGGTCATTTGCGGCAACAAATCAGTCGGAAGGCACACACTCGCTCGCCGAGCTGTTGAACACGTCCGCGCCAGAGGCTGGCCTGCGGATAACCGGAACACCAACGCATTCGCCACTCCAAGCTGGCCTGTAGGTCCCCAAGGGGCAGATACTTTAGAGGTTACTTCTTTTTATACCCGATACTCAAAATGAGTATTGGGGTATATTAGATTTGTGGTGAAAGTGGATGTGTGTAACGTCCAGAAGGAATCGTTTCCGACCCCATAAAGTATATATATTCTTGATCAGCATCAATAGCCGAGTCGATTGAGCCCTGTCTGTCTGTCCGTCCGTCCGTCTGTCCGTCCCCTTCAGCGCCTAATGCTCAAAGACTATAAGAGCTAGAGCAACGATGTTTTGGATCCAGACTTCTGTGATATGTCACTGCTCCAAAAATATTTCAAAACTTTGCCCCGCCCACTTCCGCCCCCACAAAGGGCGAAAATGTGGCATCCACAATTTCGACGATACGAGAAAACTAAAAACGCAGAATCGTAGAAGATGACTATATCTTCTAGAGTGCAAAATCTGAACCAGATCGTATAATTATTACAGCCAGAATCACGAAAACAATATCACTCTTTCTTGCTCTGTCTCACTCTAACACACAGGTTTCATGGTCGGTTTTGCCAATTGCAAAAAATGAGTTCAAGGATCTCAGAACCTATAAAAGCCAGAGCAACCAAATTTGGTATCCACACTCCTGTGATATCGGACCTTGACCGTTTCCTGTCCAAATTTCGAAACACCCCCTTCCGCCCCCGCAAAGGACGAAAATCTGAGGCAACCACAAATCTCAGAGACTATTAAGGCTAGAGTAACCAAATTTGGTACACACACTCCTTTAAGATGTCACTATAAAACGTATATCTCAGAATTTCGCCCCACCCCCATCCGCCCCCACAAAAGACGAAAATCTGTTGCATCCACAATATTGCAGATTTGAGAAAACTAAAAACGCAGAATCATAGATAATGACCATATCTATTAGATTGCTGAATCTGGATCAGATCAGATAATTTTTATAGCCAAAAGGAACAAATCAATTTGCAGTGGCTACGCAGCGCCCGACGTCACGCTCAGACTGATTTTCTGTCTCTCTCGCACGCACTCTTTGTCGTGTCGTTAAATATTAGCGCCATCTGCCGGAGGAGAGCCATACTGACTTAGTATCGGGTATAACCGTAGAGTTGCGGTGTCCGCAGCAACTCACAACGTTCCCCCTCGTTTTTTATTTATTTATTAAATTAACAATTATATATTAATAATGGTACTAAGTTACCAAAGGCGGAAAAAGATAAGTTAAAAGTTAGCTAAATTTAAATGATTATAAATATTGCATGCAATTAGTTTAAGAGACAGTTCAGGGGATAGGGTTTGACAGAGGGTGTTATAATTATGGCATAAAACCCTAAAAGGTTCATGATCAGCATAATTAGACCTACATATGGGTAGACGGATAGGCCTAAAAGTACGGGTAGGTCTAGATGGAACGGCCAAGTCAATCTGACCCAAGAGAGTTTGGGAGTCAACAGTCCCAAGAAGGAGCTTGTGCACGAACATTACGCCATTGCATATTCTGCGATGGTGCAACGACGGCAGGTCAATAAGATTTAGCCTAGACCGGTAGGGTGGCAAGATTCTACCTGAGTCCCAGTTAAAGTTCCGAAGGGCAAAAATTAAAAATTGCTTTTGCACGGATTCAATAACAGCCTGCTGTACTTTATACTGCGGGCTCCACACACAAGAACAATACTCCAATATAGGACGTACTAACGAGATGTACAGTTGTTTCGTAACGTACGGGTCGTCAAACTCCTTGGACCAACGCTTGATGAACGCTAAAACACCCTTAGCTTTATTTACAGTTGTAGCTATATGGGTGTTAAAACACATCTTATGATCAAAAAGGACTCCAAGGTCATTTGAACTCGAAATTCGCTCAAGGACATGATTTCCTAGAACATATGGGACAAAATGAGGAGCGCGACGGTAAAATGTCATAAGTTTGCATTTGGAAAGGTTCAGAAAAAGAAGATTAGTTGAACACCACAATAGTAGTTCACTTAGATCAAGTTGAAGGCGTGTGTGCAAATACCAATCAGAGTAAGAAAGACAGATTTTGACATCATCAGCATACATTAGTGTAGTAGAGTATATTATAACTTGAGGAAGGTCATTCACAAATAAAATGAACAGAAGCGGGCCCAGATGACTTCCCTGTGGCACACCTGAAGTAACATTTACAGTATTTGACAACACGTTAGAAAACAAAACACGTTGAGTACGGTTAGAGAGATAGGACAAAATCCAATCTAGAAGATTCGTTGGGAACCCTAATAAAGAGAGCTTGTGAATAAGCAGAGCAAGGAGAGATAGAGAGATAATTGATATAGAATCCAAATATGTCAACAAATCAATTAATTCAGATGATGAGTGGGAAATATAAATGGACTTAAGTCTATTAAAATTAATGATTTCAGAATTAGTTCCAAAACGGAATGAAAGGGGAATTAATGAATTAGGTACCATTTGGAAATGGATAGCAGGCAGCCCTGATCATGACGACTTTTTGAAAATACAAAATAAAGTAAATGAATTAACTGAAAATAATAATAAACAATTTGTAATAAATTCAAAATTTTTCAAAGAAATTGAATTGCTATCAAATTCATTAAAAAATTGCATCTTCAATGAAGAAACGATACTGAGAAAGCTTCGTTTAAAATTAATAACTTTTGACCTACTAAATTTAGTTGATACCATAACCCTCTTAAAAGTAAACATTTTCAATACAAAAATTTTAAATAAAAACGAAATAGAGGACATTTATAAGCATGAAAAACATCCTGTTGAACTGTATGATCTGCTGGACATTGCAACGGTTAAAATAATTCGAAATGCAGATTTAATAATCATTTATACAAAATATCCTCAAATTAAAGATATTTGCAAGTTTTACCATGCAAGAGCCATCTCACAAAATGATGGAATGTTAGTTATAAGTGAAAAAGTTTGTGAATGTAAGGAGAAATACTATTTAATGAATAATTTTAAAAGTGAAACTTTTAACAATTACGCACAAATATATTTAAAGAAGACCTGTTTCACCAATTTACTAATGGCTTTAAAGCCAACTGCACTAAGGGACTAAGGGACCAACTGCAAAAGGGAAAAAACAAAGAAATAGACATCATTCAGGAAGGTGCCATATTAGTTTCAGGCAAAAATATCGTAGACAATACTACTTTGTTAGGTTCGTATCTCCTTATATTCACAATTTTAATAAATAATATAACCCACATAAATGATAAGGGTAAAATTCTAAGATATATATCGAATCATAGATATAGCGATTTTGAATTAGTTGATTATATACAATCGAATGATAAGCAATTTTCTTTTGATAATGTTAATATTTTAAATCACCTTATAACATTAGGTAATACGGCCTTACCATTAACAACATTATTTTTAATCATTTTGATATTGATAATGTTATTTTACTTCGGCTATAAGTTAACCAAATTTGTACTTATTAAATCAATAAAAATACCGTCAGAAGAAATAGTGGAATGCAGCATTCAAATACTGTCAGAAGAAATTAGAGCTCTATCAGAACTTCAAAATGTACCGGAACGAAACATTTAAGAATGGGGGGAGTTAACGTACCCAATTCTATTGAGCTCTTATACGAGTTGTAAACAATCTTTGGCATTCCAAAACGAAAACAATTTCAATCTTGGGCCTCCGCCTAATTGATTTCTAAGATGTACAATCTCAATGGCTCCCGCCACAATCCCAATCTTTGACACTGGCCTAAATGGAAAACCAATGTTTGCCCACACCCGGCTTCTCATAAACAATCTCACACCCGGCTTTCTGCAGATCCTGCACTTTAGGCATTTTACATTTCTCTCTTTCGATGACGAAATCCAATACTCGGGATGGCGAAATCAATTGAAATGTTTATAGAAAAACTATTCCCGAAAGGGATCGACGATGCAAAGATCAAAAAGTTCAAGTCAGTCTTGATCCAGAAGCGACACCGCAAAGTCGAGCTAAAAATTAAGATCGCGCAAACCCTTTGTCCGGAATCCTTTGTGACCCTCAACTTAAATCTATATCTGTGAACTTAGAAGTTAAATAAAAACTTTTTAAAAACGCAATCCGCTACCGCAGTTATTTAATTTGCACACATACACCAATGAGTCTATGCCATTTTTTTAGCACTGCTTTTCACTAAGCACCAAACAATGTTTATTGTTTCTCACTGTTTCTGTTTTATACTGGTTATGGGTTAATTGGTGTCTGGGCCCATAACCTGTTAAAGTTATTATACCCGATACTCAAAATGAGTATTGGGGTATATTAGATTTGTGGTAAAAGTGGATGTGTGTAACGTCCAGAAGGAATCGTTTCCGACCTCATAAAGTATATATATTCTTGATCAGCATCAATAGCCGAGTCGATTGAGCCATGTCTGTCTGTCCGTCTGTCCGTCCGTCCGTCTGTCCGTCTGTCCGTCCGTCCGTCTGTCCGTCTGTCCGTCCCCTTCAGCGCCTAATGCTCAAAGACTATAAGAGCTAGAGCAACGATGTTTTGGATCCAGACTTCTGTGATATGTCACTGCTCCAAAAATATTTCAAAACTTTGCCCCGCCCACTTCCGCCCCCACAAAGGGCGAAAATCTGTGGCATCCACAATATTGCAGATTCGAGAAAACTAAAAACGCAGAATCATAGAGAATGACTATATCTATCCAGTTGCTGAATTTGGATCAGATCAGATAATTTTTGTAGCCAAAAGGAACAAATCAATTTGCATTGGCTACGCAGCGCCCGACGTCACGCTCAGACTGATTTTCTGTCTCTCTCGCACCCATTCTTTGTCGTGTCGTTTAATATTAGCGGCGTCTGCCGGAGGAGAGCCATACTGACTTAGTATCGGGTATAACTGTAGAGTTGCGGTGTCCGCAGCAACTCACAACGTTCCCCCTCGTTATTAATTAGCTATTAGCTATTTCGGAACTGAATTGGATAGCTTGTTGTTGTTTTACTATTAAT